CAAAGTTCTTTATCTCCACAGACTCCTAAGTGCACCACTTATCCTTTTCCCCTCATCAATTCTGTGATTCACCTCATCCTTCATAGACCCACCTGCTGATACGTCCACTCCTAAATACACCTACCATCCGACTTACGACCTGCTCGACACATGACCACTCGACTTATGACTGTGTTTTTTATGGCAAATTTCTGGGAAATAAACAACTGTTTGTGTTCTACGCAGTGTTTATCCTAAACCTTACAATATAAAATACAGTACTAACAGCATAAAAAGTAAAGTAAAAATGAAATACCAAAATAAAACAATAAAACAAAGTCATTACAGAAGTGTGATGTTGATATTCAGTAGTAAGGTTCGACTTACATCCATTTCGACTTACGACCTGTTGGTCGGAACCAAGCTCGGTCATAAGTCGGATGGTACCTGTATCTGAATACATTCACCTCCTCCATGCTCCCTCCCTCCAATCTGATATCCAATCTTTCGTAACCTAATCTTTTTGTTATCCTCATAACCTCACTCTTTCCTATATTCACTTTTAATTTTCTTCTTTTACATACCCTACCAAATTCATCCACCAGCCTCTGCAACTTTTCTTCAGAATCTCCCAAAAGCACAGTGTCATCAGCAAAGAGCAACTGTGACAACTCCCACTTTGCATTTGATTCTTTATCTTTTAACTCCACACCTCTTGCCAAGACCCTCGCATTCACTTCTCTTATAACCCCCTTCTATGAATATATTGAACAACCACGGTGACATCACACATCCTTGTCTAAGGCCTACTTTTACTGGGGAATAATCTCCCCGTCTTCTACATACTCTAGCCTGAGCCTCACTATCCTCGTAAAAACTCTTCACTGATTTTAGTAACCTACCTCCTATACCATACACCTGCCACATTGCCCCCCAATCCACCCTGTCATATGCCTTTTCCAAATCCATAAATGCCACAAAAACCTCTTCACCTTTATCTAAATACTGTTCACCTATATGTTTCACTGTAAACACTTGGTCTACACACCCCCTACCTTTCCTAAAGCCTCCTTGCTCATCTGCTATCCTACTCTCCGTCTTACTCTTAATTCTTTCAATAATAACTCTACCATACACTTTACCAGGTATACTCAACAGAATTTTTTTTTTCAACAAACCGGCTGTACCCCACTGAGGCAGGATGGCCCAAAAAGAAAAACGAAAGTTTCTCTTTTTAAATTTAGTAATTTATACAGGAGAAGGGGTTACTAGCCCCTATCTCCTAGCATTTTAGTCACCTCTTACAACACGCATAGCTTACGGTGGAAGAATTCTGTTCCACTTCCCCATGGAGATAAGAGGAAATAAACAAGAACAAGAACTAGTAAGAAAATAGAATGTTAGGTAAGACACATATGCAACAGTTAGGTATCTTTATTTCGAAACGTTTCGCCTACACAGTAGGCTTCTTCAGTCGAGTACAGAAAAGTTGATAGAAGCAGAAGAGACTTGAAGACGATGTAATCAGTCCATCACCTTTAAAGTTTTGAGGTGGTCAGTCCCTCAGTCTGGAGAAGAGCATTGTTCCAAAGGTTGAAACAGTATATATTGTTTCAACTTTTGGAAGCATCATTGATGTAAATATTTATTTTATTCCTCAAAATATGGAATATTTTGAGGAAATATTAAATGTTGAATAAGACAGGGAAGCTGTGATTTCGTGTATAGGGCAAGGAGGAACAACATCTTGTAAGAATGAGGAAGAGCCAGTTGTGAGTGTGGGGAAAGTTCGTGAGGCAGTAGGTAAAATGAAAGGGGGTAAGGCAGCCGGGATTGATGGGATAAAGATAGAAATGTTAAAAGCAGGTGGGGATATAGTTTTGGAGTGGTTTGTGCAATTATTTAATAAATGTATGGAAGAAGGTAAGGTACCTAGGGATTGGCAGAGAGCATGCATAGTTCCTTTGTATAAAGGCAAAGGGGACAAAAGAGAGTGCAAAAATTATAGGGGAATAAGTCTGTTGAGTATGTGATGAATGGTTTGAAAAACCGACAAGTTGAAGATTGAGACACTTATGCAGCATATGGAAATCTTTATTCAGGAAACGTTTCGCCACACAGTGGCTTCATCAGTCCAATACAAAGAGGAAGGCGTAAGGAGAGGAGGAGAATGAGGTAATCAGTCCCTCAACCTGGAGTCGATGTGTTCAGTCCATCAATCTTGTAGATTGATGGACTGAACACATCAACTCCAGGTTGAGGGACTGATTACCTCATTCTCCTCCTCTCCTTACGCCTTCCTCTTTGTATTGGACTGATGAAGCCACTGTGTGGCGAAACGTTTCCTGAATAAAGATTTCCATATGCTGCATAAGTGTCTCAATCTTCAATCTGTTGAGTATACCTGGCAAAGTGTATGGTAGAGTTATTATTGAAAGAATTAAGAGTAAGACGGAGAATAGGATAGCAGATGAACAAGGAGGCTTTAGGAAAGGTAGGGGGTGTGTGGACCAGGTGTTTACAGTGAAATATATAAGTGAACAGTATTTAGATAAGGCTAAAGAGGTCTTTGTGGCATTTATGGATTTGGAAAAGGCGTATGACAGGGTGGATAGGGGGACAATGTGGCAGATGTTGCAGGTGTATGGTGTAGGAGGTAGGTTACTGAAAGCAGTGAAGAGTTTTTACGAGGATAGTGAGGCTCAAGTTAGAGTATGTAGGAAAGAGGGAAATTATTTCCCAGTAAAAGTAGGCCTTAGACAAGGATGTGTGATGTCACCGTGGTTGTTTAATATATTTATAGATGGGGTTGTAAGAGAAGTAAATGTGAGGGTCTTGGCAAGAGGCGTGGAGTTAAAAGATAAAGAATCACACATAAAGTGGGAGTTGTCACAGTTGCTCTTTGCTGATGACACTGTGCTCTTGGGAGATTCTGAAGAGAAGTTGCAGAGATTGGTGGATGAATTTGGTAGGTGTGCAAAAGAAGAAAATTGAAAGTGAATACAGGAAAGAGTAAGGTTATGAGGATAAACAAAAAGATTAGGTGATGAAAGACTGGATATCAGATTGGAGGGAGAGAGTATGGAGGAGGTGAATGTATTCAGATATTTGGGAGTGGACGTGTCAGCAGATGGGTCTATGAAAGATGAGGTGAATCATAGAATTGATGAGGGGAAAAGGGTGACTGGTGCACTTAGTCTGTGGAGACAAAGAACTTTGTCCTTGGAGGCAAAGAGGGGAATGTATGAGAGTATAGTTTTACCAACGCTCTTATATGGGTGTGAAGCATGGGTGATGAATGTTGCAGCGAGGAGAAGGCTGGAGGCAGTGGAGATGTCATGTCTGAGAGCAATGTGTGGTGTGAATATAATGCAGAGAATTCGTAGTTTGGAAGTTAGGAGGAGGTGCGGGATTACCAAAACTGTTGTCCAGAGGGCTGAGGAAAGGTGGTTGAGGTGGTTCGGACATGTGGAGAGAATGGAGTGAAACAGAATAACTTCAAGAGTGTATCAGTCTGTAGTGGAAGGAAGGCGGGGTAGGAGTCGGCCTAGGAAAGGTTGGAGGGAGGGGGTAAAGGAGGTTTTGTGTGCGAGGGGCTTGGACTTCCAGCAGGCATGCGTGAGCGTGTTTGATAGGAGTGAATGGAGACAAATGGTTTTTAACCCTTTGAGGGTTTTGGCCGTACTAATACGTCTTACGCGCAGGGGTTTTTGACGTACTAGTACGCATAAATTCTAGCGCCGTCAAATCTCTCGGGAAAAGGCTGGTAGGCCTCCTTATGAAAGAATGGGTCTATGTGGTCAGTGTGCATGGTATAAAAAAAATCCTGCAGCACACAGTGCATAATGAGAAAAAAAAAACTTTGACCGTTTTTTTTGGCATAAAACAGCAACTTTGCACTGTATTTTCGTATGGTATTTATTGTTGTATTCTAGTTTTCTTGGTCTCATTTTATAGAATGGAAGGCATATCACAGAAATTGAGATGATTTTGACTGGTTTTACAATGAAAAGTACCTTGAAATTGAGCTCAAAGTTGCGGAAATGTTCGATTTTTACCAAAGTTCAAAAGTAAACAAATCATGCCAAGCGTCCAATACACGTCAACTGGTGAGTCTAACATTCTTTCGCAAGTGCGCCAATATGATTTATACCATTTTTTACACTAATGCAGTAATCTGCATAACAGTAAATCTTCTATTTTTCGTGAGAATAAAAACTCAAAGTGGAAAGCAAAAGAATGTAAGAGGGGCCTTGAGACGTGACTAATGAACAGAGGAAATGTCATTTTATTGCCAGGAATGTATTTCTTGTTTCTTCTGGACCCTATTCGGAAATTGGCATTTTTTAAAATTTGTGTGAAATTGGCAAAATTGCTAAATTCTGACCACTGTATTGGATAGTTGAAAATGGTAAATGGGTGGTTTCTTGCACTCATTCAATAGAAAAAATGTAGTTCTAGCGAAATAGTCATGTTTTTTGTCGACTAGTACAGTGGAATTGGCCGAAAATGGGGCTCAAATTGGGCAAAATCGCCGATGCATAAACATCGCCGAGACCGCTTACTTCACGAGAGCATAATTCCGTAAGTTTTCCATCAAATCTCATAATTTTTGTGTCATTATGATGGGGAAAAGATTCTCTATCTTTTCATAAGAAAAAATAATTTTTTTTTTTTTTTAAATTTGGCCGACCCTGAGAACGATTTTCTGAGAGGGCCTGTCGACCCTCAAAGGGTTAATACTTGACGTGCTGTTGGAGTGTGAGCAAAATAACATTTATGAAGGGGTTTAGGGAAACCGGCTTGCCGGACTTGAGTCCTGGAGATGGGAAGTACAGTGCCTGCACTCTGAAGGAGGGGTGTTAATGTTGCAGTTTAAAAACTGTAGTGTAAAGCTCCCTTCTGGCAAGACAGTGATGGAGCGAATGATGGTGAAAGTTTTTCTTTTTCGTGCCACCCTGCCTTGGTGGGAATCGGCCAGTGTGATAATAAAAATAATATTTATTTTATTGACATTTCAGGTCTTCGAGTGCTGAATCTCGTAAAAAACATAAATCCAAGAAGAGCAAACGCAGCAGGTAAGCTTTCAAACATTTTTTAGGATCTGGCAACCTTCCAGTCTTCCTTAGGGTCAGATTTGATGCTTGATACAGCAATATGACTTGACTGTGCTTTCAAAGTTGACTTGAAGGTTTTGATATGAATGGTCAACCTTAGAGATTTAGATTGAAATTCATTTCAGCAACTTGTCGTCAGTTAATTGTAAATTAAAACATTTCCTTCAACACGTTTTAGGCTGGTATTCAGGAGCCCTGCACATGTGAGGCAATTTACTCTCAACACAGGTCATAACTAAAATTAAGTATAACAAAAGTTGGCAATACTCTCATTCACAGGCTCATTTCTAATGTAAGTTCTGTTTACTAAAGAGAGAAGTGTATTTCTTTGAGTTGCTTATTTGATATTTATTATATTTGAAATACAGATAAAATGCAATTTAAATCATTAGGGTTTTGTAGAAGGAATATTTTTCATGATAGACCACATATCTTTCAGTCATAAGATATTAATGATGAACTTATTCTTGTCTCAATGTTTAAGAAAATTTCTTTATTCACACATACTTTAAGAAGAGTTTTGAAATAAATATTTAAGTTTAATAATGCTGTCAGTGCCATGAGCACTTAAAAAATACAGAAATTATACAGTTTTTTCCTTTTTTGTTATGCACATCAGTTGGCGTAAGTTTTCGTTTGTATGCTGTATAAAAAATTACTGGTATTAGTACAGTGGAACCTCAGTTTTCATATGCCCTAGTTTGTATGTAAAACTATAGTTATTCTCTATAAAATGTATTTTTTGTTAATATTTTTGGGTGTCTGGAACAGATTAATTGAATTTACATTATTTCTTATGGGAAATATTAACAAAAATTACATTTTTATAGAGAATAACTATAGTTTTACACACAAACTGGGGCATACGAAAACCGAGGTTCCACTCTATTTCGTGTAAGTTATGTTTTTAACTTAAGCCTGGTAGAATGCCCTTTAAATATATTAATTGAAAGAAAAAATTATATAGTGTATATGTGGTCACTTGGTGCAGTACAAGGTAGTAAGTTGTACCAGAAAAAAAAGTAAATAAATGGTTCTCGTCATTAGTTTTGATAAAGAAGGAAAATGTGTAGTAATGAGAAATCCTGCAGTGTACAGTGTTGTTACATAATGGTCAAGGGTCAGAAATTCTTAACATTTACACTATTCACAAGTTACTGTATTTTTTATATACAGTGCTGTACACTGAAAACTTCAATAGTTTTAATATAATTAAGTTGCATTTTTTATGTTATTCAGCAGAATACGTATATTGACATAGATCAGGTGAGGTAGAAGGTTGGTAGACAGACAACCACCTTGAGAGGTACCACCATCCTGTCATACAACAACCACCCTGGGAGGTACCACCATCCTGTCATACAACCACCACCCTGGGAGGTACCACCATCATGTCATACAACCATGACTATGGGAGGTACCATCATTATGTCATACAATCACCACCCTGTGATGTACCACCATCATGTCATACAGCCACCACCCTGGGAGGTACCACCATCCTGTCATACAACCACTACCCTGGGAGGTACCACCATCCTGTCATACAACCACTACCCTGGGAGGTACCACCATTATGTCATACAACCACCACCCTGGGAGACACCACCATCCTGTCATACAACCACCACCCTGGGAGGTACCACCATCCTGTCATACAGCCACCACCCTGGGAGGCACCACCATCCTGTCATACAACCACCACCCTGGGAGGTACCACCATCATGTCATACATCCACGACCATGGGAGGTACCATCATTATGTCATACAATCACCACCCTGGGATGTACCACCATCATGTCATACAACCATGACTGTGGGAGGTACCATCATTATGTCATACAACCACCACCCTGGGAGGTACCACCATCATGTCATACAACCACGACTGTGGGAGGTACCATCATTATGTCATACAGCCACCACCCTGGGAGGTACCACCATCCTGTCATACAACAACCTCCCTGGGAGGTACCACCATCCTGTCATACAAACACCACTCTGGGAGACACCACCATCTTGTCCTACAACCACCCTGGGAGGTACCACCATCCTGTCACACAACCACCACCATGGGAGGTACCACCATTATGTCATACAGCCACCACCCTGGGAAGTACCACCATCCTGTCATTCAACAACCACCCTGGGAAGTACCACTCTCCTGTCATACAACAACCACCCTGGGAGGTACCACCATCCTGTCATACAACAACCACCCTGGGAGGTACCACCATTATGTTATACAACCACCACCCTGGTAGGTACTATCATCCTGTCATACAACCAACACCCTGGGAGGTACCACCAACCTGTCATACAACAACCACTGTGGGAGGTACCACCATTACATCATACAATCACCACCCTGGGAGGTACCACCTTCCTGTCACACAAGTGTGAAGCAAAAGCCTGTTAACTGTTTTGCACTCTGGCAAGACTGCTCATATTTTCTTTGTTTCATGGACATAAGATGGAATGTAAGTCTTGCTAATCAGTACTTACATTCAGTATATGCTTATCTTCATTTTCCTGCATGATTCTTAGTAATTCTTTTTTCTATAATATCTAATCTTCACAACATAGACATCATTTTATTTTCACAGAAAGCAATTTGCAGCAGGTCTCTCTGAATTTTACTCTAAGATTTTTTGGATACCCAAGAGCATATCATCATCATAGGACACTACTAGGTACTGATCCTCTGCTTTTTAAATGGGATGTGAAACCTACTTTTGAGTGAGGCTTAACCATTAACGGGTCATCAAAAATCCACGTCAGGAAACATTTTTTCTATTTCCTGATAAATAAGCCACCATCACTACCAAAGAGACAAATGCAAACTTTGAGATATTGTAGTCTTAAATTTATATGAACCTGCATTGTATATTTCAACAGGTATGACATCTGCCATTCCTCATAAGTAAATGACTAATTCTTTTAACTTACTCATGAGAATACAACATCACAAGTTTTAGCATAATTAGCTGAAGGGTAAGTCAGTTACCACGAGAAGTTTTTTTGTTTTTGCTTTTAGGGTGCAGTTCGATAAATGGATATTTAAATAATATTTATTTTTTCTCTGTGATGTTTTCCTTTGAAAGTTTGAGAAACTTTAAGTCTCTGATGTTAAACAATAATTACCTATTCATTACTTTTTATAGCTTCAGGGACACAACTATGGTTGTGGTGTCTCATCTTCATTAATAGGTTCATTTTATAATTTTCTAAAATTTCCAAGTTATAACCTCACTTCCTCTTTCAAATTTTTTCATTCTTATTCCACTTCATTTATAATGAAAAATTGCTCGGCATTATTTTTGCTCCCTTTTTTCTTAATTTATATCTGTGGCTGCTTGTTATCCATATTGAAGGTACTAAATAAAATTCTTTATTCTTTAATCTTATATATTTTCATATTTCCTCTTTTTCTTCACATCAGCCATCTTATCAATGTAGCGCTGTATGACCTTTATGGGTTTAGCACTTGAATTGCCTATATAATTACATCCTCTTATTATCTCAGTATTTTTTTAAACTCGGTTATCTGTATGGATTTTAAATCTGCTACATATAAGATAATTTTTTTGTAAACATACACTGAGGATTTCTGTTTAACACCTTGCACATTTTATCCTCCCCTTCAGTCTTTAACATTTACTTTATTTTTTATAAACTTGGATGAAAGATTTGTTTCCATTTTGCCTTTATTAAAATTCTTGTATTTCTTCCTCTTTACATTTGTGTATTAATTTCTGGTTTGTTTATGTATCTGATACATCTCTGGATTGGTCTGCTTTCTATGTTGGTTCATAGCTCTCCAGTACCTTCTATTAAACCATTCTTCAATATTTCTTCTTGTGCCTATTTTTTTTTGGAATAAACTGGCTAATTCCATATTCATACCAATAAATATTACAAAACTCTTTTTATTCTTCTTCTGCTTTAACAGTGTGAATTTTATTTTTAGTGGCCTATTTTTTTATTCCTCATGTTTTCCAATTCTCCTGTAGCTCACTATATGGTCATAAATACTGAAATTTTCCCATATATTTTTTATCTCACTAATGCAATTTTCTTCCTTTGTGTTTAATCTTCGGTTGTTTCTCTTTCAACACAGCCAAAAGCAATAACAGTCTTTTCTCTTTCCACGGTTCCCACAGTAGCTTAGAATTATTTGGTATATCCTTTTATTTCACAACTGTTGTTGCTTCTAGCTGTAATTTTCTTAGCTAATGCCACCTGCTGTTCTTTTTTTAAATTTTCTTTGTTTATTTTAGCATTGTTATCTTCCATATTGGCTTTATATTTCTATAGTTCTTTTTGTCTCGTTTTCAAAGCTTTGGTTGACATTTTCTGTAGTATCATGAGCTAGCTGTACCAGTTTGTTTAATTTAGTCCTTTGCTTTGTTATTCATGCAGAACAATCTTCAGTTTTTTATACTCCTCCAAGGTTTTTATATATTTCATGAGTTTTTTTTTTTTTTTTTTTTTTTTTTTTTTTTTTTTTTTTTTTTTTGCAAGTCATACTCATCCCTTTTGACTGGATGTTCTCAGCATTTACATGCTGATATTTGGTTTACTACTTTATCATAAAATCCACATAAAGGCCCCTCAAATAAAATATTTTTAAACCAGTATAGTACTGTATATATTTAACATCCTAGGGGACACCATGAAACATACTCTCAATGATCACTTTATTAGGTACACTGTAAACCTGTGTATTAATACAAATATCTAATCAGCAATGAAGAAGTTCATTTGTTGTTGAGACAAAACATCAGATTGGGGAAGAAATGTGATCTGTGGAATGTGGAATGAATGTTGATGCCAGATGGGGTGGTTTGAGTGTCGTAGAAACTACTGATCTCTTGGCATTTTCTCACACAACAATCTCTAGATTTTACAGAGAATGGTGTGTAAAATGCAGAACGTCTAATGAGCAGTAGTTCTGTCA